CTAGCCCAAACTTTAGTATTTAAATACTGTAAAATGGATCCCGTTACTAAGAGCCGCGCCGGGAACGTATACATCGCACGTGTATAGGGAGAGTGGAGCTTCACTCACTTTTAACCTCGACACTAAATCAGTGAACATAACCTAGAAAATCACTAAACCGTGTAGCTCAAGACACTGGGGTGTCAAAGACGGGCAACAATTGCTGGAGCTTAGACCCTATAAAACAACAGCAATCCAGGCACGCCTTGCGTATGTAGGCTTTGTCCGATATCCTCGGGGACAGAATTATCAGCAGTGGTAACTGACCAGCACGTTCACCCGATCTTAATCCTCGTGATGTTTTCTTCTGTGGTTCTTTGAAGGTCAAAGTTCACAACAGTGACCCCCGAACGGAAGTACAAAAAGAACATATTCGTAGGGAAATTGAAAATATTCCTGGAGAACAGGTCCAAAAAATAAATTAGGACATCTTCCGCCTGTGAGTGGAATGTATACGTGTAGAGGGACAACATTTTCAACACCGCCTGTGATCTTGAATTGTAACTATGTTCATTATTCCGAATGTTGTCGGTCAGCAGGCATATTGATTCATCGGCAAAATTCATATGCACCTCGTTGTGGGCGGTGCACCGGTCGCCGTGAACCGATCAACAAAATTAAGGACCTCCCTATGTAACGTAGATTTGTAGGATAGATGAAAAATGAATTCGAAACGATATGAAAGGAAGTGGCCGTGGCCGTTCACTTAGAAATATACTGTTCCGTTTTTTTGGGGGGGGGGGCGGAGTCATTAACATCGACGGGTTTACTTGGTCAAATGATTGGTAAGAAAGGTGAAGCAGGTCAGTCTGCTGCGTGGCTTTGTGCAGAAGTACCCCCACCTCACTACTGCTTCCACCCGCATTCTCCCTCTCACGCACGCCTGTATGTAGCGAGAAACCTCAGTTAGGATATCCGCTGTCCCGACTGAGGTACGAATCGGGCACCTCCTGAGTAGGTATCTACAGCGTTACCTCCACTCCACCCGGCTTGCTTATTCCAAACTAGTCTCTATACTTCACTATCCTAGCATTACCATGTGACCTGTATGAACCCTAGGGTTTCTGTTCTCTGTAAGATCCTGCAGTTCGTCTCTTTAGGTCCAAAGCAAAGCTGACCCTGTTCGCAACAGGAAGACGTATGGGGAGGAGTGGAAGTATAGCTCCACGGATTTTTAACCTCGACACTAGATGGAGTTGAGTTACGAAATAATGCCACTGGCGATGATGATGATGATGATGATGACAAAAATGACGACAATGATGATCTGTTCATAATGTCGACAGCCGTGAGTCCTTCGATTCTCCTTGGACTCTGAATTGTATTATGTAAGAAGAGTAGCTAAGCAGTCATGTTTGACCTCTGCGGAAATTGCGAGCAGACTTCCATAATGGTTAAGTTATTGATTTACTTGTGGAATAAAATTCACCATCAAATGCCGGCAGACAAAGCAAGGAAGAATTGATTTCCTACGTCATTAATTCACTCACGGGCTCATTAAATAGCAATTATGGTCTCGCCGTCCTTTCATTCATAATTCAAAGAATGACAAAGAAACGTCAAGTGAAGAGTAACGACATCAAACCGGCAGCGTAAGGAAAAAGTTGCTTTATGAAGTAGACTATACGGTATGCAGAAATGCAGTATTATCTGTATCTAATATCTCAGTCGGGACAACGGCGGGCTACGGGCTGGACTGTCGGGGTTTGATTCCCTTCTCCATAGTGTCCAGACCTGCTATGTGGCTCATCCAGCGTCCTGTCCAATGGGTACCTGGGGGTAAAGCGGTCTGGGCCGTGATGCAGGCCACTCACCTCCATCTAGTGACGAAGGCAAGAATGCTGCAGCTGTACATCCACTCCCTATGTCTCTTCGTGGCTTTGCGCTTAATTGATTAAGCATAGGACAACTTTATGTTTCTTTACCGCAGTTCATTTAATCACGCATTCAGTGGTGGAGACTATGCGCCATCAAATAATGGGGTGAATAGTCAATAATGAATTAAAAACAATGAGTAAAAAATGTCGTGGCCTAATTTGAGGTAATATCCCAATATTTGTCACGAGAGACTGAGGAAAGCCATGAAAACATGATATGAACATCGGAATCAGTAGCAGCAGCATTATCCAAGCGGCCGCGACCATCGGTGTCTTCTACTATGGTGATAGCGCCGTCCAACAAAAATAGTTTCTGTTTCGTTAATATAGACTTTCTAAAATAGAGGCTGAGTCCACTTGGTACTGCGACCACTCCTTGGCCTACTGTGCCAGCCCCGGATGATAGCTGATGATGACGATGATTGTTGAGAAATCGATGGAATGAGAATTGGCAGGGGAAACCGAATTACTTGGAGGAAACCTGCCCCAGTGTTACTTTGTTCACCACAAATCCCACATTACCTGATCCGGGCTCGAACCTGGACCGCCGCGGTGGGAAGCCGGCGACTAATCGCCTGAACTATGTGGATCATCAGATGGAACACGTGACGCACAAAATGAAGGTGATAAACAGTTTCTGTTTCATTAATGTAAAAAAAAAAACAAAGAAACAAACGAACTTCGTGGCTTTAGTCCGCAAGCGAACTATACCGACCGCCGCTTTTCGGCGAAGTTAGTGCCAACTTTTGCGGATAGAGGGTGTCGCGTGGTCAGCGCAACGGATTCCCACGGCCGTTAATCTCGGTTTTCTAGACCGGGACGGCGTTATATCCCATAAGATATAATTCTTCACAGTCACAGCTGTCAGAACCTCAAATCCGACATAAGCTCTTTCAGTTTCATATGTGTTGGATGTTGCGCAAGGCGTAGGACAAGAATGCGGTGACCGCGCACAAGAGTTGTGTTCCATGAATCTTTGCAACATATGATATTTACAAAGTGACATATTACAAACCAATTACAAATTCCATCCGAAATATTAGTAACACAGCCATTGCGGAGTGATATTTTGCTATTCCTTCATGTTTGGTTTATGCAACGACACTTCAAGTAGCCCAGATTACATAGTGCCAAATTATAGGATGATTAATGACGACAACACGGAACTTGGAAGGGATGTGGAAGGAAGCCTTCGTGACGCAATTAGAAACAAACAAGTGATTTGTCTGGAAGGACTATGAAAACCGTTATTTATGCTAACCGGTGTCAGAGCCAAGCTTCGAACCTGAAGCTTCCCGAGATATTTGGTCTTGTTGGGTGTTACACCGCGTCGAAAATATAAAACGTTATCATGTTACGCATGAACCATTGCCTCCTTCTTCACGGTTACGCGTCATATTAATAACATTTTTTGCTAATTTATAGGTTATTGATTGTAACAATAGAAAAACCTTGAAAGGTGAAATTGGTGTTGGAACCTGCTATAGCATTATTTGTCTTCTGAATAATCCGTCCGAGAAAACAAAGTTTAGAAACACGGGCATTTATTTATCGACGCTTTCAATGTGTCAAAATGCATAGCACCATAATAACTCCGTGGCCTGTAGTCCTCAAACGAACTATACCAACTGAGTGACCGCCGCTTGTCAGAGAACTTAGTGCCAACTTTGGCGGATAGAGGGTGTCGAGTGGTTAGCACAACGGATCCCCATGGCCGTAAATCTCGGTTTTCTAGACCGGAGCCGCTATTTCCTTGAAATATCTCCTCAGTTATCCTCACGAGGCTGAGTGGACCCCGTTGCAGAACCGCTACTTATCAGAAAATCTGGTAGCGCCGGGAATCGAACCCGGAACCTCTAGATCTGTAGCCAGGAATTCTGACCACTAGACCCCAGAGGCCGTCATAGCGCCGTCATACGACGATGAATTACGAGGATGTGAGAGGAAGTGGTCGAGACCTAATCGGGGGCACTATCTTGTTATTTGTCTGAGGAGAAGGAGAGAACATGACACACCTTTGAACCATTAACTTCCCAAATATGAAGCAGGAACATCTAACCAATTGACAGCGACATCCGTGAACATAATATTTACATCCCTCAGAAACCATAACACATATTTATGTTTAACTCTTTATTAAGTCCGTCACAACACAACAGTACAGTGTTCAAGGCTAAATTTATGTTGTTAAAGGAGAGAAGCTGAAGCCGTTGAGCACCACTTTTCAAAAACAGATGAAGCGATTTTAGGTGTCTGTCCCAGTAACGTACTTAACTCGGTAATTAATTGTGACAATGAATGCCAATGCTGGGCATTAACGACGTAACGCGGGTTTTGCACGTAATTGAGCATTTAATAAGGAGATATTTGCGGTGCACATTTCCGATTTTGACTAATCGTTTGCTTCACCCATTTCAGCGTGACATCTCATATAGGCCCATTACAACTGCAGTGCGATCATCTGAGAGCTCCCCGCACACTGTTCAACCGCTCAGAACGAAGAGTTGGACACACGCAGCTCAGTGATGTGCCGGAAGCTCTCAGACAGTCATTCGGAACAAGATGGAAAGTCTAGAGCAAGTAATTTTTATACGTGAGAGTGGTCAATGGTGACCCAAACCCCGTGTGGAGGCTGGTTCGAATACCTCCACCGTAGCCCTGAAAATCGTAGGAGGCGAAGAAAAGGGAAGCCAGTGCCTTGGGTTATAACTTATAACCGGGCCACCCTGTTCCCGGGAAATATAAATACAGGGACCTGACCCTTCAGATTTAGGGAATCTCGAATTTGAGGCAGTAAAATATGTCACAAGTCCCGCGGGACTTGGAACCGAGAAAGACTGCGCTGGCGAGGACCAGCAGCAGTTGTAAACGACATACCTGTCCTCTCGCCAGAGAGGATGTTACGTAAGTACTATAACCGCAAATGTTCGGCTGAAAAAAAAATATGCTGCTCGTGATTCTCAAGGGGCTTATCGCCAAGACGAACTGGTTGCCGGTAAACCACCAGTCGTAAAGTTAACTCTGACTCTGGTAATCTAAGTTTCAACAGAAAATGGGGAAAATAAATACAAAGGACGAATTTACCCGAAAGGGAAGAAGATCCGGACGTCATGGAGTAGAGGGACGCCGAGTTAGGCACAGAGCCGTTGCTGCCCATGGAGTACTGAGACGCCGAGTTTGGGACTACCCACGTCTTGCCCACTGAGTAGCTGGACGCGGAACCAGGAACTACCCATTTACTTGTCCCCATGGTATAAGTGGAAGCCGAGTTAGGGACGACCCACGACTTGCTGCCCACAGAGTAGTGCGAAGCTGACGTCGGTAAAAGGACACCTCCTGCCGTCGCCCCACTCTGTTTCAGTCGGAGGATCTTGGCGCGGCAGATGACACAGCGGAGGGGCAGCAGACGCTGCGACACTGCCATCTGGATCGTCTTCACGAAGCATTTTCGGCACACGACCCGGTGGCCACAAGGGGATGTCTGCATGGTCGCTTTGGCGTTCACACATATCACGCACTGAAACCACGGAAAAAAATTGTTTCAATAAGCGATGCAGTAGTCCAGCCATACCATCTGCTGTGGAGGAAATACCACTACCTAATGCCAGAAGATCCAGACACCGCGGTATATATAAATTCTAGTTCGTACCTCAGAGGAAACACGTTATATCTCAGCTAGAAAACCCTACCTGTTAATGTCGTTTAGCGGGGAAGAGAGCTGTTTATTGTGAGAACCATACGAAACACACAAACACTCTCTGCGGGCAGAATGCAGAATTTTAGTTTGTTAAAGAAAGTGGAATATCTAGTAACCACTGTGCTTTAAGGGGTAGACTCAGAACAATTATTGTCTTTGAACTTTATACATCGTTCTGTTCTTTAATTAAGACACCGCGTTCCGGAGACTGGAGTAGACTTGACTAGGCTAACTATAAAAAATAAAAAATAAAAAGTGACGAAGGTAGGGACTAATTTTATCAATTGGGTCAGCTAAGTAAGATTTTACCCGAAGACGGAGACAGAATCCAGTCTCTGAAATGTTTTGTTTTAAACACAAAAGAACAGGAAGCTGGGTAGATTTATTCATCCTACTGTGGAGGAAATAACAGCGCCTAATTCAAGGCGATCCAATCACGACGATATAACCTATGCAAAAATAATATTACCAAGAAGTAGGTGAACTCCGTGGCCTGTAGTCTGCAAGCGAACTATACCGACTGAGCGACTGCCTTTTGTCGGCGAAATTAATGTCAACTTTAGCGGATAGAGGTTTTCGCGTGGTTTCATTCTTTTAGACCTGAGCCGTTATTTCCTTGAAATAGCCCCTCAATTATCCTCACGAAGCTGAGTGGACCCCGTTCCAGACCCACTACTTCTCAGAAAATCTGGTAGCGCCGGGAATCGAACCCGGGACCTCTGGATCTGTAGGCAGGAACTTTGACCAGTAGACCACTGAGGCGGTCCATATATCCATCATAACTTGACACAAATATTGTGTTCTTAACTGAAATAAAAGAAACAATCATAAACAAGGCTTGTACGAGATTATACTCAGAACAACCACACAAGATTTACGCAATATTATTGTTGGGTAATTTTATTTATTGTCTGTATATGCTACTCTTTTATCTCTGACCTTTCCACACGTAAGTCCATATAAACACACGATGACCTTTCTGCTAAAGCCGAAAGTCGCTCTCCCTCTCTCTCTCTCTCTAATTCTCAGGGGATTTTATGCATAATGTAGATTGCTTTTCCGAGTTTTCCGTATGCAGAATCCCACGCATGTGCATGAAGCATTTTTCTTTATGTAGAGATGAAAAGAGGGGAAAATGTTACGTTCGTCGTTAATTGGACATAAGAAAGGGTGAACACAGGAGAATGAAGAAAATTACTCTTCCCTCTGTTACTCTGAACAAACTAGTTAACTACTTCGCAAGTTGACTCAGCCTCGGCTGTCAGAACAGAAGACGTAAAGCTCGCCATGGAAGACAGCCAGACTTAGCTGCTTCCCGAAGTCACTGTTTCCTTAAGATACAGTCCAGTTTCATCTCACTGTTGTCATTGTTACTGTCATTTAAACTTCGAAACAATCGTACTTTATTCCAGATGACATTTGATACTTTATTTATTATTAATATGGTTAACAATAGCCGCGCCATAGATCAAGCGGTTAGTCGCTGGCTTCCCACTGCGGCAGCCAGGGTTCGATCCCGGGTCTGGTCAAGTGGGATTTGTGGTGGACAAAGTGGTGCTGGGGCAGGTTTTCTCCGAGTACTTCTGTTCCCCTGCCAATCTTCATACCACCAATTGCTTCACAATTACCCTCACCTATCATGTGGGGCGGGTACAACAGGCCAGAAGTGGCCGCAGTACAAGGGACTTAGTCCCACCCCACTAGCAATAAAGAAAATATTTTTAACAAATAAGTTAAAGGAGAATGAGGTGGGCAGGGTATGTAGCACGAATGGGGAGAAGAGGAATGCATATAGAATATTATATAGAATAATTATTTTTCTTCCGTCATGAACACCGTCCCTATACGTGTGCCTAATTGACATATAGAATATTCCATTTTGGGCCTTAGATATACGCTACAAAATAGTCTTTCGGCTAGGTAAGATCTAACAGCTGTGACGATGGTACATTAGTACAAATATTACGTTTCTGGACATTATCCATCGGCTTGTCTTTATCTAAACACCGTCCTGTTTATTCTTCAAAACACAGCGTTTCGGAGATTGGATTCTGTCTCCGTCTTCAGGCAAAAATTATACATTTGGGCCCAATCGATAGAACTAGTCCCTATCTTGGGCCTAAATAAGAAGGTTTTACCTGAAGACGGAGACAGAATCCAGTCTCCGAAACGTGTTTTGAACAATAAACAGGACGTTTTTTAGATAAAGACAAGCCGACGGATAATGTCCAGAAACGTAATATTTGTACCTTCGGCTAGATGTTCCAGCACAGAAAATCGCATATGCATATGTTTGGACTGTTCGGTAAAGACGCCATTTCTCTTGCAGACACTTCCTCTGTTAAGTTCTGAGTTCTGTTTTTGTGGGATAAGGTAAAAAAGTAAAGCTATCCATGTAACAGGCTGTGAAGGCCTATAGGATGGATGGATGGATGGATGGATAGATAGATAGATAGATAGATAGATAGATAGATAGATAGATAGATAGATACAGATAGATATAGATATGTAGGTAGGTAGATATATATACATAGATATAGACAGATAGATAGATAGGTAGATAGATAGATAGATAGATAGATAGATAGATAGATAGATAGATAGATAGATAGATAGATAGATAGACGTTGCATTGAATTCCCTTGTCATTCAAACGTCTCTAGCCATTCAAAAGAATAAACAAGTTTTATTCCAAAATCTGATCTTGTGAGTGGATCAGACTTCAATCTATGAAATTGATTTGGACTACGGTTATATGTAGGGCCGAATTGTATGGCTATTGGGAATCATAAATTGAAACAGATGTATAAGTGACTGTGGGCTGCTTTAAAGTAGCTATTCCATCATTATGTCAGGAGTGGCTGAAGAAAATCACGAAATTATTCCGTGAGAATAGCCCGTCGTGTGTCCTAAAACATAATAGGTGACCTGCCGAACATGAAACCAAAATGTACAACGACAGCTGATGATTTGATAAGAACAGATTTGGTCTTGCAGCAAATGAACATCAAGACAGGCGAGAGACACAAAGAAGACCACCTTTTATACAATATACGTAAAGAAGCTTGTCTTCACCGGTCTCTTTTACTTTCATCCCCAGCGGATCAATAAGAAACGTGGTTTTAGGAACCTCCCACGCACATAGGCTGCACTTACAGCTGAAGACCTAAAGTAGGCTTCACTGATTATGGCTCCCGCTTCGTATTCGAAAAGTCCTGAGTTCTATTCTTGGACCCCAAAAACCAGCTATTTTGACTGACGCTTTTCTTGAATTTACGAGTCTGCCTACAAAAATTCTGGGAAAGTATCTTAAAAGAGGCCACGACCAATCCCTACCCAATTCACCATTCATTACATACTATATAGCCCATGAAACTGACGCGGAGTCCGTAACTAACCTAAAACAAATCTATCGGGCTGCAGTTTTTAGAATTCCATTAACAATTTGCTGTTATCTCGTAACTGGTTTGCGTGGGGGGGAGGGGTTACTGTATTGCCGGCCGGTTCAATTTACTTGTAGGACAGAAACGTTGCCTCATCATCTCGTTAATTGGACCAGTCCAGCGAGGTTCTGTAAGCGGCGAGCAGAGGGAAGCTGCAAGTGCAGGTAGGGTGGGCCGAGCCTGCTCATGTCAGCAAAACAGAAATCGAGAATTGTAATTCAATTTAAATCCGGTCTAAATCCATTCAAATACTGAAATACGAAGGAATAAAATACCAACCGAGACATTATTATTCTTATTCTTATTATTTTAATTGCAAATTGGTTTTTACCCGGTGGCAGTGGTACTACAATAAGACACAACACAAATAACACACCACACTCAAACAAAACACAGCACACAAAACTACACAAACAATAAAGGGCACACTACACACAATGAATACAATGCAAATACAATTACAAACAAAAATACAATTCTATCAAAACAAATTATATGAGTGGAGGGAATGCAGACATAGGGAAATTGTGACGAACTGTGTGTGTAGTTCTGTCGGTCCTGCAGATATTGTGTCTGTGTGCTTTTATTTTGTGTTTGTGCTGACCTGTGCGCAGCTAGAGGTCTTGCTGCGGGCTGATCCCCCGTCAAAGGAGTCCTATCGAGTGTGTGAAAAGAACAAGAAGCTGAAAAAGCGGCCAAGGTCCAACAAAGGGCTCTAGAGCCATAGATAGATAGGTATAGGTGTAAAATTGACAATCGGATACACACACATACAGAACATGGGGATAAAACCGTAGTCATTTTCTTGGGAAAGAAAATGAAGGCCGAGAACTGTCCGTCGTACAAGATATCGGAACATGCAAGATATTGCTATCACTGCGACTTTCATTTAAATCGTTCTTCGAAAACGTGCGTAGTAAACAAAACAGAAGGAAAATAATTTGCGCCTCATTGCAGTTTAATATCTTTACTGTTGATCAGCTTTGACAACAACAGAATTTGCGACCCCAGAATGTGTCCTACTGTTCTATATAAAAAAAACAAACCCCGTGGCCTGTAGTCCGCAAGCGAACTATACCGACCGAGCGACCGCTGCTTGTCACCGAAGATAGTGCAAACTTTAGCGGATAGAGGGTGTGACGTAGTCAGCACAACTAATCCCCACGGCCGTTAATTTCGGTTTTCTAGACCGGAGCCGCTATTTCCTTGAAATAGCTCTTCAATTATCCTCACGAGGCTGAGTGGACCCCGGTTCAGACCAACTATTCAGAAAATCTGTTAGCGCGGGGAATCAAACCCGGGACCTCTGACCTACTTGTCTGTACTCTTGTTCATCTACGCCAGCAACATGTTTTTTTAATAAAAAGTGCAAGGAAT